GCTCTTCAGGCTCGTCAAGATCAGGAAGATTCTCCTGATGTAGTCACTGGTACGTTACGAGTCTTTGATCTTGATGTTTATGCATTGTTAGATCCAGGGGCTACTTTGTCTTTTGTAACTCCTTACATAGCAGTCCAATTCAGTGTTAGTCCAGAAACTCTTTCAGAACCCTTCTCAGTCTCTACTCCAGTCGGTGACCCAGTTATAGCTAGACGGGTATACAGAAATTGCCCTGTCACAGTCTCTCAGAAAGTCACCTCAGCAGATCTTGTAGAGTTAGAAATGGTAGACTTCGATGTCATTCTAGGCATGGATTGGTTACATTCATGTTATGCCTCAGTTGATTGTAGAACTAGGATTGTTCGTTTTCAAGTTTCCAGACGAACCAATCCCTAGAATGGAAGGGTAGTAGCTTAGCGCTATGGGTCGATTCATTTCTTACCTTAAGGCCAGAAAGATGATCTCTAAGGGTTATCTCTATCATCTAGTTCGGGTTAAGGATTCTAGTTCCGAATCCCCAACTCTTGAAGTCAGTTCCTGTAGTCAGTGAGTTTCCAGAAGTGTTCCCCAGAAGATCTTCCCTGGAGTTCCTCCCGAAAGGGAAATAGACTTTGGAATTGATCTCCTTCCAGATACCCAGCCTATCTCTATCCCTCCTTACAGAATGGCTCCAGCTGAGCTTAAGGAATTGAAAGACAGTTGAAAGACCTTCTAGATAAGGGCTTCATCAGACCAGTATTTCGCCATGGGGTGCACCAGTGTTGTTCGTGAAGAAGAAAGATGGTTCTCTCAGAATGTGCATTGACTATAGGCAGTTGAACAAGGTCACAATCAAGAATAATATCCCATCCCCAGGATTGATGACTTGTTTGACCAACTTCAGGGTGCTAGTCATTTCTCAAAGATAGACCTCAGATCAGGTTATCATCAGCTTAGAGTCAGAGATAGTGACATTCCGAAGACAGCCTTCAGAACTCGGTATGGTCATTAGAATTTGTAGTTATGTCATTTGGACTAACCAATGCTCCTGCAGCTTTCATGAATTTGATGAACAGAGTGTTCAAGCAGTACTTGGACTTGTTCGTTATCGTCTTTATTGATGATATCCCCATTACTCTAGGAATGAGGAAGAACATGCAAGTCATTTGAGAGTTGTTCTCCAAACTCTCAAAGATCGCCAGTTATTTGCAAAATTTAAAAGTGGAGTTTTGGTTACAATCAGTTGCCTTCCTTGGGCATATTGTGTCTAGTGAAGGAATTCGAGTAGATTCCCAGAAAAT